AGAAGAACTAGATGGTGTATGGCAACCATTGTTAACTATTTGGAAAGGAATCAAAATAGGAGATCCTGGATAGGGTGGGAGAAAAATGTGGAGCAAAACTCAAAATCATAAAAAAGACCAGGCTTACTGGTCTGATAGAAACTGGTGAAACTCCCAAGACTATGGCTCCTAATCAACCTTCAGGCCTGGAATTTAGTTCACTCCTATGGCTTCTAGCCACTCCTTGGAAGGAAGACTGGGCAATCTACTTCTGTAGTGATACTGCCTCGGCAACCCAAGGAGGGGTTGCTATGAGTCGGGGTGACTCGATGGCACATAACAACAACAACATGGCTTCTAGCCAAACAACAGACAAGCCTACAAGGTTTGTAGGCTTAAAAAATAAAAGGAAACAATTACACTAGGTAGGTACACTCCTTTGAGAAATCAACCCTGAGAGATTAGAAGGACAGCATTTGCACAGGGAGATAGCTCAGAGAGCAGGAATGCACAGGGAAGGACACAGGGAAAGGTAACTACAGAGGGAAGTGAAAAGAGAGCTGTTACATTATGGGGATTGCAATCAATGTCATGAAACAAAATGCGTGTGAACTGCTGAATGCAAAATCAATTTGCTCTGTAAACCTCCACCTAAATCATATTTTTTTTTTTAAAAAAAAGGACATTATGATCAATTAGCATATAAACTTGTTGAAAATTGAACTAGCTTACTAATAAAATCATAATTTCATATTTATTAAAAACAAAAGGCATTTAACATTATATAAGTTCTTTTCTTTTTGTACATTAGGTTAAATTTTCTATGATTTTCAAGATTTGGATATTGTCATGGATTGAATTATGTCCTCTCCAAATTATGTGTCACCTTGGCTGGGCCATGATTCTCACTGGCAGTTATGTAATGATGTAATCATTCTCCATGATATTATCTGATGTGATTAGTCAATCAGCTGTAAAATGATTAGGGTATGATGCAATACCCTTACTCAGGTCGCAGCACTAATCCAATATAAGGGGAGTTTTCCTAGGGTGTGCCCTGCATCTCTTTTTATCTTACAAGAGATAAAAGGAAAGCAAAGTGAGCAGAGAGGGAGAGAGACCTTATTACCACCCTCTGAAGAGATGTAAACAGAGTGCATCCTTTGGACTCGGGGTCCTTGGGCTGAGAAGCTCCTAGATGCCGTTCCCCCCCCACACAATGAATCAAGACACATGGACATCTCCAAGGAACAGATGTTGAAAAGAGACAAGGAACTTCTCCCAGAGCTGACAGGGAGAAAACAGTGTCTTCCCCTCGAGCTGGCACTCTGTATTTCGACTTCTACCTTCCTAAACTGTGAGAGAATAAATTTCAGTTTGTTAAAGCCACTCACTGTGGTATTTCAGTATAGATAACTAAGATATAAAAATTTATTTTCTTTGCATTTCACTAGCTATTCCCAAACAATGTTTCTAGTTTGAAGAGTCTCTAGAATTTGAGAAACAAGACAGAATTCCCCAAACAATTCTCGTTCTTAAGGCTATTATTTAAAAAACACTTTAAAATTACTGGGTTAAGAAATTAATTTAGTGAGTTGCAAGATGTATTGTTGTCGTAATTATGTGCTGTTGAGTCTGACCCGACTCATAGCATTGCTACCCCTCCTTGGGTTTCTGAGGCAGATTGCCCAACCTTCCTTCCCAGGAGTGGCTGGTGGGTTTGAACCGCCAACCTTCTGGTTAGCAGTCAAGTGCCTTAGGCACTATGCTACCAGAGCTCCTGCAAGATGTATTAGTCAGAAAAAATGTTATAGAAGAGAACAGAAGAGAAAAATCTAGCAGAGTGTATTTAAGTAACAGATAAAGTAAGTACTGTTACATGAACTTTTGTATGTGTACATACACATTTGTTGATGCATGCATGCATATAATAAGTAGATACTGGGTTGTGCTACAAAATGCGTTTCTCACTGTGAGTCTGACAAAAAAAAATCTGAAATACACTGTTATAAATGGTCTCTTTCAGCCAAATATATTTTAGAGTAAAGCTCTTTAAGTACTGAAAATTCTCATTTGTATGTTTTTATTTCTCAGTCTATTTATTCAATTTTATAGAGATACACAGGGAGAAAAATAACTTCCAGACCTAAAAGTGTCCTGCTGATACAGATACTCTCAGTAAGCGCCTGGTGACAGAGAATGCCCAATAGACAGAAAGGATGGAGAAAAACGAAAAATACCACAGTACCCTAAGTAGTGATAAGAATCCAGTTTTGCTGAGTGACAAGAAAATGGTTTAATATGGTTCTGCTGTATATAAGTTGATTGAAATGCTCAATAAGAACAAAATTTCCTTTCTTTAAAAACAGTCTATAAGAAGGGGTTTTGCTATATGAATCAATCAAAAAAAGGGATCACTTTAGCAGTGTTATAATATGCAAAAAAGAGAAATTACAAGGAGCTGTAGCTGCTAACAGTTACCACAGGAATCAGGAATATATCCTGATGAAAGAAATAACTGATAGGTCAATGATCTAACCCAAACTAGGAAATTTACCTTCCACTTTGTGAAGGAAATTCACAGAAGAAGCGGGCTGCTTTGACTCTCTGGGAGAGAGCTCTTACAGCTGGCTGAGACACAACATTCTGAAGCTGTGCCGGCAAATGGGGTAGTAATAATTACCATGCTCCTGGGTAGACTACAGAAACCTGGTTATAGCATACAGATAAATTAAGATAGTAAAGTGAGTTAACTATCTAAAGAGGTAAAAATGAAGCCCTGGTTTGAAAAGATGTAGTTATTAATAAAAAGGAACCCTCTAGAAAGGTTTTTTTTTTTTTTTTTTAATTGTGCTTTAGGTGCAAGTGTACAGAGCAGAGTTTTGTTTTACATTCAACATTACATGTACATTTAGTTTCACTCCCCATTTACTATCCCCAGCTGTAACCCAGTCCCCCTCCTTCCCCTCATAGTCATGCACTCCTGTGTGTCCTGCATTGCCCCTCTGGTGCCCCATGGTCAATTGTTCCAAGGGATGCATTTCCATAGAATATGTGGGTGTGTCACCCTGGGTTGAGTGGTCTGCATGTACATCTTGTTTACTAATGGGCTAAGACTCAACCCCTAGGAGTGAGTTTTATTCCAGGCCCAGAATGTATTCCAGGGCCACAGTACTGGGGATCTCACCAGGCTCCATCTGGCCAGTAATTCTGGTCATTATTGAGTTTTTAGATTTTGTTCCACGTTTTTCCTCCCACTCTATCCAGGATCTCCAGATTTATTCCTTTCCTGAGTGGTTGGCATTGGTAGCCATCTAGTTCTTCTGGTCTCGAGGGCCATCATGTCCTAGGGCTGATTGCTTCCAAATGTTCTTGTTTTTTAGCACTCTTCTTTGCTTTCAACAATGGGAGACCATTAGCTGCATCTTAGTTGGCTGCTTGAAAGCTTTTAAGACCCCAGTCACTACCCACCAATGTAGGATGAGGAATAACACTTTCTTCACACATGACCAGAAGTGGGATCCATGGGCTACAGGAATGCTCTCAGAAGAGAAACAAAACTAGTTTGCAACCCAAGATTAAATAGTGAAAGCAAGCAAAGATAAGAAAAGATAGTATAAAGTCGTGCTACCAGTTATATCCATTGTAAACTCCATGCCCAAAGAGTTAGTCCAAACCTAACCGCACATTAGAATTGCCTACAAAATTTCATACAGATTCCCCAGGCACTACCCAGCCCTGAATTTCTATTGGTTTGGGAGCCAAACTGAAAAACCAAACATGCAGCCATCAAGTTGATTCTGACTCACAGTGACCCCTACCGGGTTTCCAAGGCTATAAATCTTTATGGGAGTAAAGTGCCTCATCTTCCTCTTGCAGAGCAGCTGGTGGATTTGAACTGCCAACCTCCTATTAGAAGCCAAATGCCTTACCCAATATGCTACCAGAGTTCTTTCTGTTTGGGAGAGAGCCCAGGAATTCACTCTTCCAAAAAGCTCCTGGAGCACTGATGGTATATTTTAGTGGTCAAACTTGAGTTACTCATACACCTTAACACTTGTTTGTCAAATCCATATACTACCTATTTAATACTGCTTTTACTTAAATGAAAGTGTTTTTAAAGAAAACATTCTATGACTACTGTTAAAATGATAATAAGCAATAATATCCATAAAATAGATTTAATGTGCTAGCTATACTTTTTCTAACACACACTGAAATAAGTACAACCACTCCTCACTTACCCACATGGTTAGGTTCCAAACACCAGATCGTTATGCAAAAATAGAAGATGACTACATCATCACATAACTGCCAAGTTACATCATGACACGACTGCCAAATTTCATCATTAAATAACTGGCAAACCATTGAGAATCATGCCCCAGCTAAGTTGCCACAACCTTATCAGTCAAAATGTTACCCTTGCCTCATACCTTGGCATTTGTTATTGGCAGATAAACATTAATGTGTAAAATAGTTGGATAGTAGATTTTTTACTACAATAATAAACACAAAATATCAGGTAATGGAATAGTCAATAAGTCAGGATTAGTTGTATAAATCAAAATCAGAAAATTTACCCTTTGCATGTATGCTACACTGTGGGAAAGGGATAGTAAAGAGCACGGTTTAATTCAGAAAGAACAATAGGGTCTGAATCACACACTTTAACTTCTAAGACTCCTAAGTTACTCACATTTAGGGTGTTTTTGCTAGGAAGAAAGGCCTGACTGTCTGCTTCTGAAAGTCAGCCAAGGAAACCGTATGGATCACAAAGTTATGATCTCGTTGTGCTCAGGAATGACATGAGTTGGGAGCCAACCTGACAGTGAGTAACGATGACAATAATGGCAACAAGAAGCCATTGGGCCAATAATATTCTCAACAGCAGAGCTGTTCTCTAAATTATAACATGGCTTAAAATTATTACTGATTTAAAAGAAGAATTAAGAACAGTAAGCTGACATTGAAGACTTTTTCTATATGACAATTCTAATTGATTCACATTAAAATCTCACCTTTGCTTTAGATAACAAGCCCCGTAAATTGAGTCGAATGGATGAAAGCACTTGTACAGCCTCGTGGGGACTAGATTTGTTTTTACTGCATTTTATAGCCACTGGAAGATAAATAATGGGGAAAACATCCATTAAAAACAGGTAATGATAATTTACAGGAGGAAAAAAAGTTAAGATTTTATAGTAACAGACTTCAGAAATATTTCTACAAGGAAATTTTTATTTTTTGAAAAATGGTAACGATTATGTGTATCTTTAAGAAAGATAATTTACTGTGAAAGGGGAATTTGTGAAAGGGGAATTTTTGAGGCAAACAGGTGATTTGTAGTGAATCACAAAGCCATCCAAACCCACCCACCATGAAGCCAGCATGGTCACATAAATTCTGTTGTTGTTATGTGCCGTCAAGTCAGACCCGACTCATAGCAACGCCTCCTTACGTTTCCGAGGCGGTATCACTACGGAAGTAGATTGTCCAACCTTCCTTCCGAGGAGTGGCTGGTGGGACTGAACCACCAGCCTTCTGGTTAGCAGTCAAGTGCCTTAGGCATTAGCTACCAGAGCTCCCACAGTATATTACTTTGGGCCTTGTAATGATCACCATCCCCAGCTGAAGGTTGTTCCCAAGCAGACTATTTTTCAGGGGGTCATGTTCCTTTGACTTGTTTTCCTGGAGAATTTTCAATAGGATGAAGAAAGGAAAACTAAGGAAACACTTCTTGGGTGAAGCTCTGGCTGAAGCCTAAGAGGGAGGATGTCAAGGAAGGAAGGATGATGGGCCTTCTATTTCTAAGGGAAATCCTCTGACCCTTGAATAAAGCCCTGTGGTGTATCAATGCTGTTGTTGTTGTTGTTATGTGCCGTCGAGTCAAACCTGACTCATAGCGACCCCTCCTTGGGTTTCTGAAGCAGTATCACTATGGAAGTAGGATTGCCCAACCTTCCTTCCGAGGAATGGCTGGTGGGTTTGAACCCCCAGCCGTCTGGTTAGTAGGCAAGTGTCTTAGCCACTATGCTACCAGAGCTCCCGTATCAATGCTGGCCATCCCTAAATCATCTTTCCACTGATTAGCAATTATCTCACATGTTCCTATACCAAATTTCAGATATGCAGATTTCAATCCATCTACCTTATCTATCAAGGTTTAAGTAGCCCAAGAAATTGACACACATGCATGCACATGGGCACAGACAATGAAGTTCCTGATGTTATTAGGCAAAGAGACAAAATCTTATTGAAAATAAGGTTCCCATACAGAGCAAAAACAGATGTAGTACACCTCAGTGTGGCCTCCCACAATTCCCAGAGTTACTGACAGGAACTCCAACTGATAATGTCACTAGCCTAAGGAAATGCTGTGCCCACTGTGCACAGCTCAATGCTTTTTCACACTCACTGTGCTGGAAGGGTTTACATCAACGATCAATCTATGGGCTTTCATGTAAAGGCTGTGACCACAGCAGGCTTTTGGGGTCCTCAGCCATGAGTGGTACCAGCCGGACAGGGGGTGGGGAGGCAGGGAGAGTGGGCCCGTTCCTACTTCAGCATTCTGGCAGTCTATTTTCCTAAAACTTGAAATTATGAAGGGGGCATACTCAACCTTAGCAGAATACCCAGCTACCAGTGCTTTATCAGGATAAGTGAAGAGGTCTGCAGGTTACAAACAATACACCTGACATTTCTTCACTCATTTGCTTTTTGTATTTGTTCCCCTCAATTATATTCACTAAATTTAAATAGTCCAATAAGCAGATCCTATTGTATAACTACACTGAACAGTGTAAGGATTAAAGTCTACTTGGAATCCTCAGTCTTAAATCAGGGATAGAGAAGAGGTTTCTTTACGCATGCAAATGCTAATGGGCTGTGTAGACGCTGCCTGTGTGTGTGCCTAGCAAAATACAGTTTTGTCATTAATAAATGATGTCTTTGATGGCCAGCAAGAAATCAGGTTGGCATTTTTATTTCCAATAATAATAGACTTTGCATTTCTAAGTGTTGAAAAGATCCTTCGCAATTAGTAATGTCAATCTCATTGTGAAAGGGTGCAGTTAACCCAGTGGGAGTGAGGACTAAAATGTTTGTTTCACTTTGTAAAGTTGTAACTACCACAGCTGAGTTATTTGAGCTGCTTAATACTTAGAAAAGGAGTGCCGGTGACGCAATGGATAAGCGCTTGACTGTTGACCTAAAGGGTCTGAGGTTCGAACCTACCAGTCACTTCATGGGGCAGTTTCACTCTGTTCCACAGGTTCACTATGAGTCAGAATCAGCACACGACAACAAAAACAATACCTAGTAACCTGTATCAGAAAAAGCTGTGATTCTTTTTTTTTTTTTTAATGCTTTATTTTCATTCTAAGAAAAACAAAATCAAACTCTGTTAGCTCCCCTCTTCAACCTCATTTCCAAAATGCATTAGAGATGAGATAGGGAGACAGAGATAGGGAGAGAGGCAGGAATAGAGGGAGTGGGAAGGAGAAGGAAAGAGACAGAGGGAGGGGAAGGGAGGTAGAGGGAGAGAGGGGAAGACAACAGGTGGAGAAAGAAACAACCTGCTGTTTCAAATCATCAGGAAATCCAAGAGCGTAGTGCTTCTGCAATGCAGACTGTAGTTAAAATGCCTAACTATTATTTTCAAAGTTGCTGGGAAGGCAAAGAATTAACAAGCTTCTCCCCACCCTTTCCCAAAAAAACGCAATAGCAAAATAGCAGAGACTTTAAATGGACACTCACCAGACAATACAAACAGGCACACAATGGTAGCATTGTTATAGAAAGTCTCAAATACCTCCTTGAGATTGCAACATCTTATCAGTTTTCTGAAGTACATGACTACTCTTAACAACAGTAACCAAATAGGGAGTAAATCATGTGGAGATTTAAAAAACACTGTATTTCCTCCTTTTCATAATTGGGTGGGACAGAAGAGACAGAAAAGAGAATAGAATAACAGCAAAACCCAGCTCACTTTGCAAGTGAGCACTAGTATAATAAGCAATTAAGAAAAAGTTAAGATTTATTTCATAAATCTAAAACATGTCACTTGAAACTAAAGCTGAGCATCTACTCCAATAAGCTTAAAATGTTGCAGGAGCATTGACACATAATTTATTATAATCAAAGGAGAACTTCAAAGAATAGACAGCTGTTTTTCTCCAAGCACTGCCCTGATTAAAAAAAAAAAATTGTGCTGACAGTTTAAAACAAACTTTAAGATGACAAATGATGATTTTTCCTAGAGTACCTCTTTAACCTGAATATTTATCTTTAAAAGTTCTAATACCACCACTTGGTGATTACATAAATTACCTTGGCTTTGCCTGTTAATAAAGCTAGCTGTTCACAGAAATGTTTAAGGTTGGCAAGCTGAAGTGGATAAGATAAATTCTTCAAAGTAAACAGCATCTTCATAATTATGTACATGATCCTCAATAGCTCTATGCAGCTCCAAACTTAATACTGTATCCAAAAAAGCCATCTGAGCCCACCCACCATGAGGCCAGCAGGGTCACATAAATTCTAGCCACCCCTAAATCATTTTTCCACTGATAAGCAATTATCTCAAACATTCCTATTCTGAATTTCAGCCATGCAGATTTCAATTCTTCTATCTTATCTATCAAGGTTTAAGTAGCCCAAGAAATTGAATATTTATATTCTTTTGGCCAAAGAACTCAAAGGCCATTAAGGAAAATTATTAACTACCAAACCCATTTCTAAATTGTTTGAATGGTCTGTATCACTTCTTTATAGGTAAGCTAAACTGTATCCTTGTGCTTGATTTTTCCTTTTTTTTTTTTTAAAGTCCCTTATATAGCCCAAATCCTCTAACTCAGAAGGAATGAGGTAGGGCCAGGAAAGGAAATTTAAACTATGTGAAAAATATTAAAAATATTTAAATATGCTTTCATATATTCCTCAGAACCATATGTAGTACTATTCCCCATTTTACCAAAGAAATTAAGGTCCAGAGAAGTTAAGTAATTTGCCCAAAGTGACCAGGCAAATACATGACAGAGGCCCTGGCATTTAGGTCTCCTTGATTCCAAAGCTCTGCTCTCATCATTGTCCCTCACTGCCTCCCTATTTGCTATAACTGAGTTGTAGGAAGAAGGTAGGCAAGGAAGTAGGAGGAGGACTTTAGGATAGGTTCACAGTCCTTGCTGACAGTCCTAAATTCAGTTCCTAATATTGTGGTTTTGTTATTTTATTAGAACTGCATTCCCAATGCATTACATACCCAAATTCAAATAGAAATATTAAAGTATTAACTATAAAAATACTAAATCTAAGCAGTATATTTTTCATTAATGAAAATAATTAAAAGCTGCCTTTATCTGGAATATATTTACCCCAACAAGCATGCAGCCTTACATGTAAAGGTTATACACATAATCCCTCCCCACTCAAATCATCCTTAAAATTTCTCAAAGATAGGAATTAGATTACATTTGACATTTCTTTTGTATACAACTTTGCTCTATGTATACTGCAATGCACTCCAGAGATCTATGTATTTTTAGGAATAAATATTTTCACTTACAAAGGGAGAACATAAATCAGAATAGTTAACTGGTTTCCTTAACACTATGCAATCAGTGTGAACAGACTCCGTGTATAGTAAAAATTAAGTACAGTTGGAAAAGTATTTCACATCTCTAAAAAAAAGGTTCTAATATCCATCACTTTTTCAAACAGTATTTAAAAGCTTCTATCCTGTTTCTTCTTATTACTCCAAAGTCTTACTACACAGAAGTTGGTCTATAAATGTTCAATGAATTAAATACAACCATTTCAATATAATGAAATCATCTAAAATTATTAATAATGGAATTTTACTTTTGACTAATACGCTTTCTTTTTAGTAAAATACACCTTAAAATATGCCATAGATATCAAATATTCTATCAAATACCATGTGCAAGTCCTAAGGCTCTCTGAACCACTTCCTTAAATGACGTCATGTCTTTCTCCCAACAACTGGACCGTGTGTCACATTTGTATGCCTTCGAGAGATAGTGGAATGCCTGAGGGAAGAGAAAGAACAATATTCAGAACACAACTAGAATTTACATTTCAACTTCTATATTTCCTGGAAGTCATATGGAACTAATTTCAACTTGAAAAACCCACATCTGTGTAATATAGCGCACTCTCTGTTATTCTCATCAAAGAAGGGGCATAGATGCACACACAACAGTAACAAGCAATTAGATCAAACAGATGTGTCTGAATAGAGACATTGCCCTACCAGCAGAAAAATATAAAGGCTAGGATTGGAAATCTGTAACAAGTGGACAGATTTCCCCAATATCTGTAACCATCAGCTTAAGAGACCAGTTTAAGGAATAAGGTGTGAATTTGTGAAAACTATGTAATTGCTATTAGCAATGATAGTGAGGATGGTGCAGGACACCAAGCTGTGTTTTGTTCTGCTGCACAAAGGGTCGCTATGAATAGGAACCCATCCAATGGGACCACCACCAACAACAACCTGTAATTTATGACAGGAGTATGTGTTCACAGAAGTTTAAAATATTCTTCCTCTTTTACAACCCATCTTTGTGGATTCTTCAGGGAGAAATCATAGATCAGAAAATTCTAAGTACCCTTAATTCCACAGATGCAAGAGAGCACATAACTCAAGAAGGAATGGAGAGAAATAAAGTAGGAGTGTGTGTGTGCATGCAGGTCTCTGTTCTCTGGGCTCACAAAACAATGGTAGAAGCCAGCGGGATGGACCGAGAGAGGAAGGGACAGCTAAGAATCCCATAGATTATCTGTACCGTGGCTAATTCCAAACTCATGCAAGGAATACATTTGATTTGTTGTGGATGTTTTGCAAAGACACACAAACAATTATTCCAACCTAGAAAACCCTGGGGGCTCCTTTAAGTTCTAAGATAATAGGCTAAAAGCCTAACTTGAGTAACAGGTGTTCTATTGCACAGATGAGAAAAGGCCTCACTTGAGTAAGAGGTGCTGTATTGCACTGGTGAGAAAGGAACAAAACTACTTCTGTAATTAGCACTCACTGTTAAGACTTTTAAAGTTCTTCTCCAGTATCTTAACTACTTCCTTTTTCTCTTTCCCTTTTATATTTCTCATCTCAGATCTAAACACTCTTTCTGTCCTCTACCCAATCTGCCTTAGTCTTTAGCAGTGAGCCTGAGAAAGGGGGTGGAGAGTGAAACACAAGCTGTTTGTTGCAGACCCAGTAGGGGGCAGCAGGTTAAACAGACCCTTTTGCAGGAAACAGAACACCTCTGTAAGATAATTCATTGGGGGTGGATGGGAGGGGGGAGAATGTTTACAAGTCTTAACCTATCCAAAATTCAAAGTGTTCATGGCAAAGGGTCTGAATGAAAAGTGAAAAATTGAGCACACTGATCCTATCTTTCAAATTATCAAACTTTCCTCCACCCATCAAAAAAGTGTATCTTTTACATGTGCTCAAGCAAAAGGCAAAGGTCTGGGAGGACAGGAGAGCTTACCTTTTCATTTTCATCTGGCTTTTCACTCTGTCCATTTCCATACAGTTGGGCATATAGCCTCCAGATTTCGCCATCGTTTGTCACTCTTGAAGTTACTCTGCCAAGTAACTCCTGCAGCTTTTCTTTGAGGCCAGTTGCAACATCTCCACTCCGATCAGTCACTCCATCAATCACTGCCCTGACCAGAATTTTAAGGACCTTAAAAATGCACATAAACAAGCTGGTAAGGAAGAAACAAAATTACAACAAAGCCAAAAAGCTGCCACCACTACAACTGTCGACTATGACAATGAAACAGCTTGTGAGACCTATTTGAAGAGCAACCCCCTTACTCTCTAATTAAAATAAGATGAAAATCAAGCTGCCCTGAATCTCTAAGTCCACATGCCTACTGTCTCTCTGCATGTCCCTTCTCCATCTCCAAGGAGGGCTCTTCTTTCACAGGGCCCCATATTCAGCGCTAGTGTCTTCTCACTTTCAGTGTTCTCTCTGAATGATCTCGTCAACACCTGTAGCTTCATATCAATCACCAAGGACACTCTGATAGTGCCTGCATCTCTGGCATACTCCTCCGTAGATCTCTAGGCTATGCACACCCACACAGCATCCCACATTCAGTCTAACCCAGGGGGAGACACACACATCCCAGACTTCTCTTCTAACAGATTTCTTATTTCAACATTCCTACTGAGTCCTAAATCCAGCCATTCCTACCTTAGTTTAGGCCTCATTACTTTCCAACTAGACTGCTTTTATAATATTCTAACTCTATTTAAAAAGGTCCAAACTCACTGCTGTTGAGTGGTTTCCAATTCATAGTGATCCCTCCCTGGGTTTCTGAGGCAGCATCTCTACGGAAGTAGATTGCCCAGTCTTCCTTCCGAGGAGTGATTAGTGGGTTTGAACTGCTAGCCTTCTGGTTAGCAGTCAAATGCTTTAGGCATTACACCATGAGAGCTCCCTAAAAAGGGCCAGGCTCTTCCTAATTGCTGAAGGATAAACACAACTAATGCATGTGCATGCAGGGTATGAGAAAGCAGGTCTTCTTCTAACTAGAAGTTGCCCCAACTTAGTTCATCTTCGCTATGTCGCTATCAGTCATTCTTTACACATTCTAGGCCAGATGCTTTGAATGCTGATAGATGGGTTAAACTGGGCCTCACCAGCAGGCCCTGTTATTCTGACAGGACACATACGTTATACCTATATTAGCCTGTGTATTTCAAGGATGCACAGAAAGTGCATGCTCAATCTTCTACTCCTTTGATTGGAGGAAAACAAAAGCATCTGTATCCACTGGAAAAAAACAGCTTGAGGAGAGTGCTCTAAGCTCTTGCTACTAAGTGTGGCACTGGCACATCTAGGAGCTTGTTGTGGCTGGTCCACAGACCACAGGTAGCAAGGTCCCAAGCAGAGCTTTGAACGGTTCATTCCGGTTCGAATCCCCTGCAGAGAATTTGTATTTCCACCCCAGAAATACTGAATCTACATTTTAGTAAGATCCCCAGGTGATTTTTATAGATCTATGTATACAGGACAATCACCTAAGGACTTTGTTAAAATGTAAGTTCCTTGTATCTGGAGTTGAAATGCAAATTATCAGCAGGGGGTCAAACCAGTTCACTCCAGCATTGTAAGTCCTGGTTCCAAGAGAAAGAGTGCTCACATCTTTGCCCCTACCCTGGTTCAGGAAGAGACCACATTGCATTGTCTAGTATCACCAGTGTGTAACAAAGTGTCTGGCACACAGCACTGACTCAGTAAATATCTGCCTGAAAGAAAGACTGAGTGAATATACATCTTTCAGAAAGTGTTGCCAAGAAAGTACAACCACTGTGATACCTTGCATTGTTTCCCCAGAGAACAACTGGATCCATATGTGAGATGCAGCTGAGAAATTGTGACTCCTCTGGAACATTAGGAGTCCCTGGATGATGCAAACAGTTAACTCGCTTGGCTGTTAACAGAAGGTTGGAGGCTTGAGTACCTCACTAGGAGGAACCTCAGGAGAAAGACTAGCAATCTACGTCCAAAAAACCAGCCACTGAAAACCCTGTGGAGCACAATTCTACTCTGACACACGGGGGTCATCATGAGTCAGAGCAGACACAATGGCAACTGGCGGTGGTGTAGCTGGAACGTTAACACTGTTAGGAATGTGAGCTGAGATTCACGGTCCTAATTATGTACAGTGATAAAAGTAGACAGGAGAACATTCAATTGTGTTTTTTCTGTCTTGTTTGGACAAAGCACATTATCCCTGCCTGTAAATTCACATTGCAATCCCACATGTGTAATTTCAAATCTGAAAGTAACAAAATTCACATTATCAGCCCACATATGGTTTTAAATCTGGAAGAAAAACGAAAAAGGAGTATGACTGTGCATACTATCCTCGTTTCAAGTGATCATTCTGTGAACGTTCTCAGGATTAAGATGTCTTGGAAGGGATAGTCTATTAAAATAGCTACTAATATGTACAAATGAAACACACTACATTAGTAAAATATTTTGCATCTTCTGGGATCTTACAGTTGGTCCAACATCCCATCCCCTCACTTTGGCCTCCTTGAGGAGACAAGAGGGGAGAGAAAGCTTTTGGTCTTCTTGCCAGTGAAAATGGAGAGCAGTGCTGGTATTTTGAAAGGAAAAACACTGAAGTGCATATGTGTATGTCTGTTTAGGGGTGTGTGAAGGGAACTGTTGAAAGGTGCAGTGATGAAGTGTCTGTGGCTGAGAGAGTGGTGGGGGAGGGTGGTGAAGGGAACTATAGGTAGGGCAGATCCCTAATGTTACTACCTACTGTGTATGTTGCTCCCACAAGAAAAGAGTGGGACATTGAATACAATGGGAGGCAATGACAAATATATTTCTACACTCTCCATCTGTTCATTCATGTTCAATGGCCAGTTAAATACACAAATGTGGAGCTCAGAACAGAGTTCTATACTGGAGAAAAATATGCTAAGTCATTCATGGTTGTGGCAGATATTGCCTAAAGAGACTATGTTGGGTAAGAATAAGGCTGAGGATAGAATCTTAAGGAAGGCAGCATTTAAGAGGACGACAGATGAAGGGTCTTTCCACTAAGAAGACTAAAAAGGCATGGCCAGATAGGTAGGAGAAAGTAGTGTCATGGGAACCAAAGAAGGAGACAGTAACAAGGAGTGTACATCTGCAAAAGTTAACTAAGATCAGAACTGGAAGATTCCACTGGATTTGACAATTATAAGAGTATGTGAAGGAACCCTGATGGCACAATGTTTAAGTGCTTGGTTGTTAACTGTGACACTGGCAGTTAGAACCCACTCAGCAGGTCTGTGGGAGCAACACCTGGCAATATGCTCCTGTAAAGATTACAGCCAAGAAAACTACCTGTCCCCATAGTTCTACTGCATAACACACGTGGCTCTATGAGTTGAAAGTCAACTCAATAGCACCTAACAAGAAGACCAAGGCTTAGTTACTGCATCCACAGCTAAAGCCAGAATGAGGTGGGAAGTAGAGATCATGACTACAGACTACAGGTTTAAATCTAAGAGTGAGGGGGAAAAAAAAAAAAAGCCAACACAATTATTAACAACATGAAAAACAAAATGCAAGAAAAGAAACAATCACAGTATTCTATAATACCCTTGTGATACTATATTCCTTAGTATAATAATGTTAACAGGGAGTATTAATTTAACCAAAAATTTTAATATAAATATATTGGGAAAACAAGAAAGGAAAGCAATAGAAGTACTGGTATAAGAAAGCTAAGTCATCATTTACTTTAATAGAAAGTCAACAGAAAATGCCCAAATTTGGTTATTAAAAAATAGCAGTATAAACACATTATGAAATATGGAAATGTGCTAATGGCAAAAGGAACACCAAGAGCTTCTCCCTCTTGGAAAGAAGGAGCTTGAGGAATAGGGAGGGCAGAGCAGGAAATTGCAATATTTTGTTATGAGCCTTTTACTACCATTTAACTTGTAAAACCATATGTGTTTTCTTCTAAAAGTTTTATGGTTTCAGTTCTCATATTAAGGTCATTGATCTATTTTGAGTTGGCTTTCATATATGATGTGAGATGGAGGTCCAGATTCATTCTTTTGCATGTGGAAATGCAGTTGTCTCAACACCATTTACTAAAAAGACTAATCCGGATCAGAGGAAGGCTCATTAACAACCTGCAATAAGCAGATGACACAATTTTGCCTGCTAAAATTGAAGAGACTTGAAGCACTTACTGATGAAGATCAAAGACGTGTATACACCCTTTACTATGGATTATACTTCAACATAAGGAAAACAAAAATCCTTACAACTGGACCAATGAGCAATGTCATGACAAATGGAGAAAAGACTGAAGTTGTCAACGATTTTGTATTACTTGGATCCATAACCAAAACCTATGGAAGCAGCAGTCAAGAACTCAGATGTCGTATTGGGCAAATCTGCTTCAAAAGACCCCTTTAAAGTGTCAAAGAGCAAAGATGTCACTTTGAAGGCTAAAGTGGGCCTGACACAAGCCATGGTATTTTCAAAAGCCTCATATGCATGTCAAAGCTGGACAATGAATAAGGAAGACCTCAGAAAAACAGATGCATTTGAATTGTGGTATTGGCAAAGAATATGAGAATACCATGGGCTGCCAGAAGAATGAACAAATCTGTCTTGGAAGAAGTACAGCTAGAATGCTCCTTGGAAGAGAGAATGTCCAGACTTCACCTCAAGCACTTTGGTCATGTAGTCAGAAGAGACTAGTCTCTGGAGAAGGATATCATGGTTGGTAAAGTAGAGAGTCAGCAAAACAGGGGAAGACTCTGAAGGAAATCGATAACACAGTGGCTTCAAAGTTGGGCTCAAGCATAGCAACTATTGTGAGGATGATGCAGGTCGGGATGTGTTTCATTCTGTTGTACACAAGGTGGTTATGAGTCAGAGCCGATCCAATGGCACCTAACAACAACAACAACATTCTTTCACCATTGAGTGGACTTAGCACCCTTATTGAAAATCAATTAACCATATAGATATGTGCATGTATTTCTGGACTCTCAATCCTATTCCACTGGTCATTCATTAGACCACACTGCTTGGTTAATGTAGCTTTATAATATGTTTGAAATTGTGAAGTGTGAATCCTATCACTTTCTTTAGTTCTTTCAAGATTAGATGTAAAGCTTGGGATTTAATTTTTGACAATGGAT